ACTCTCTTCAAGGACAGAAATGCTTTTGCACAGTCTTGTAGAGGAGTTAAGAGGAGAGACCCCTGAACACTTGAAGTGTGATTAGTGACACTGAGGAAGTGAATATTTAATTTTATTGAAATTAAAATACTTTAAATTTAGATAGTCACATGTAGCTATTACCATTATATTGGGCAATGTAATTCAAGAATTATATTTGTACTGGATTCTGAAATGGCATGTTATGAAATTTATTGTATTCTTAAAAAAGCTAAAAAGCTTTAATACATAGTATTTATAAAATATCTATACAGTTGTTACAGTGCAGTAGTCTAACAGAAGAGTTAGTTTAGCAACCTGTAGCATTGCGATTATGATGTAAAATTTACAGCATGTAGTTTTCACATAGAAATCTGTAGCAGTTTAGCAAGGTAACATACATAGGACAAAAACTCAAAGATTCCTCCTCTTACTAGTTACGTGACCTAGAGAAGGCCTCTTAACCTCCACGTCTCAGCTTGCTTATCTGTAAAATGCAGATAATAATAATAATAATAATAATAATAATAATAATAACAACATGTATCCCACAGGATTTCTGTGAGAAGTTATAATTCAGAACACACAAGCATTTACTATCCTGGCGCCCAGTTGTGTGGTGATTACTCAATAGAAACCTTGCTATTTGCAGACATATCTCTTTGGAAAGGTTGGCTGGCTGCTCTTAAGTTTAGAGAACCATTTAGGTATAGTCTGTTCTGAGTCAACCTAAGTGTAAACATAATACAAAAGAGGCTATTAATAAAGCATGCCGAGTTATTGCTGACTTAAGCTAAGCAGAATAAACATTATAAATAACTTATTAGGAGAGGTTCCATGTGAGCTGCCCATACATCAGTAAAGTTTTAGGAATAAAAGGAGCCTTTAGCCCAATCCCTTCATCTCAAATGGGGAAAAAAAGCCCCATGAAAGTTCACAGAGCTAATTAGGAATAGCACCAGGCTCTTGCCTCCTGACCCAGTATCTACCAAAGATAGCAAAAACAGAGGAAATCAAGGTCAGGGCTCCTAGAACTTGTTCTAATGTGTGCATGTAGTTTTTACCACTTTGCTTATGGGTAGTTTTCACAGAGGAAGGTGTGTATATAAAATTCAGCTGGGTGTGGTGCCACATGCCTGTAATCCCAGTGACTAGGAGACTGAGGCAGGAATGAGCACATGTTCAAAGCCAGCCTCAGCAACTTAGTGAAGCCCCCATGCCACTTAGCAAGACTCTGTGTCAAAATAAAATATTAAAAGGGCTGGGGATGTGTTAAGCACCCTGGGTTGAATTCCTAGTACCAAAAACATGAATAAAAATAAATAAAATTCAAAAACATACTTTGCCAGTGTTTACCAAAAATACAAAAGAGTCACCATAGCTTTATTCTGATTAGAAAATCTGCCCAAGATTAGTGAAGAAGTACCTGAGACTATATTTTTAAAAGTATGTAATGAACTGAAAGAAAACAGTTATACCCCAAATGCCTTAAACCCAACTAATCTCTTCCCCCTGTACTATTAAGGTTAGTGACATTTTAAACAGTGTATTGTCTGTGTGTGACGGCACATGCCTATAATCCCAGCTTCTCCAGAGGCTGAGGCAGGAGAAGAAGTTCGAGGCCAGCCTGGGCAACTAAGGGAGATCTTGTCTCAAAATAAAATTTAAAAAGAGTTGGGGATATAGCTCAGTGGTAAATAGTTTGCCTAGCAAGCCAGAGACCCTGGGTTCAATTCTCAGTACTGGAAAAAAAAAAGCACACTTACTATATTAATTAATTAAAATATTGTGGCAAAATGGAGTAGCAAAGTTTCAGGAGGGATGTTGGATTGATGACTAGAGTGGGTTGAATAATGTCTCCCCTAAAGTCATGGCCATCCAGAATTTCATAACATGACCTTATGAGGGTCATTACAGATGTAGTTAAGGAAAGGTTAGAGATGAGCATTTAGTAATTAGGATGGGCTCTAATCCAATGAATGTCCTCAGAAGAGACAGAAAGGAGATGACACAAAGACATGGAGCAGGAAGTGATATGAAGACGGGGCAGATACTGGTGTGACGTGTCTGTAGGCCACCAGATGCCAATATGGCTGGCAGCCAGCAAGGGCCAGGAGGGGGCCTGGCATGGTTTCTCCCTCACTGTGTGCAGAAGGAACTGGTTCTGTGCACACCTTAGTTTTACACTTCTGATTGAGAGGGTCAATGTCTGTAGCTTGAAGATAATCAGCTTGTGGTTGTTACATCAACTTTTAGGGCACTGACATATTGGTTATGATAGTATCATTTATTTCTAGTTTCATTTGATTAGAGAAAGAACAGGATTTATGATTTATGTTTTAAGTTTCACCTTAAAAAAAGTAGGAAGGTAAAGAGTTGGTTAATGTAATTGGGGTAGACAGTCTCCAAGGAGGCCCCAGTGATTCCTGCCTCCTGGTGTTTCACACCTGTATGTGGGTCCCTCCCATACTGAACAGGGGTAATAAGCATGAACTTTAGGATATTGGAGAAATGCCAGAATGTGACTTCCAAGGCTAGGTCACAAGAGACATGCAAGATTTGCTCTCTCCGGGCTTGCTTGGGGGAAGCTAACCACTGTGTTAGGAGGGCATTCAATCAGCACCATCTGAACAGGTCCACGGAGCAAGGACCTGGCTCTCCTAACATCAATCACTAGCTTTTTATGCATGTCCTTGAACCATCTTGTGGATGGTCCTCCAGCCCCAGTCAATCTTTCAGATTGATTTCAGCCCTCACTGACATTTTAATTGTATCATTCAGTGAAGAGACACCAAGCCAGAAGCACCCAGCTAAGCTGTGGCCAGATTCCTAACTTTCAGGGTGAAAGGATGAATACTTATTATTTTAAGTTGCCAAGTTGGGGGAATTTTTTTTTATGCAACAATAGGTAACTAATACAGTCAGAACTATAAAATTGTAAAAGAGCTCTTAGTTTCCTCTTCCCTTGAACTATTGTAGTAGATTCCAAACTGTCTCAGTCCTTCTGGTATTTTCCTTTGAATGAAAGTTGTTCAATTGAATACTGGGCAAAGACAATCATCATTTACAACATATAGTGATAGGGAAAATCCAAGATGAACATGCACGTACCTTTTTTAGTGAAACATCATCAGTACTTTGAAACATTCTCTATGTTCTTCCCTGAATGGCCCCTACTCAGGGGATATTTACTACTCTAGTAAATTTTGTGTTTTCATTCACTTATTTTCTCTTAGATTTACCAATGAACTGTTTAGTTTTGCTTATTACTGTACTTGACTGAACAACATTATGCTCCTGAGATCCTGCACCCACCCTCCCTATAGAGGCAGCCCCCTTTCCCACTCTATCCTGAGACCTTGTTTCACTGGCTTCGGGGCACTTATTTCTGTCTAAAACAGGCTTATGCATGCTTTTGTCACTTCCAACTCCTTTGCTGAGGGGACAGTTCTGTGAAGGTTGGTGCTACATCTACTTTGCTCACTGATATTTCCCTGTGAAGCAGTGCCTGGCACACAGTAGGTGCTCCATAAATATTTGTTGAGTGAACATATAAATAATGGTTTGGCCAAAAAAAAAAAAAAAAGAGAGAGATTAGTGGTTCACACAGGGGGATGATTTTGTCCCCAGGAAACTGTCGATGTCCGGAGACACATTGGGTTGTCACAAGTGGGTGACAACCTCCTTGTGACATGAACTGTAGGATAGTGGGGAAATGCCAGAATGTGAGGCAGTGCTGTGGAGTCTCCTGTAATGAATGGATGACTCCAACAAAGCAGGATGATCCAGTGCAACATGTTAATAGAGATGAAACCCTTGCCTTCGATAAAAGATGATGATGATGATGATGATGATGATGATGATGATAATGATGATAATAAAGGTATCCGAATGACCTTTAAAAAGTAACTAATTTTCTTCCTGTTTGTTTTGGGGACAAAATTAAAAGAATTGTGAGATGAGAGACATATTTTAAATGGTAGAAATCATGAAAATATAGAGAAATAAAATTCTATGTTTATAGGTGGGCTCAAAAGAATTTTCAGTGGCACAATGAACCAGGTGAGTTTGTAAGTACTTAAAAAACTGAGCAAGAATGCACAGATTTGGTTGGAGTTGTAATTTAGTGTTTTAAAGAAGAACCCTGCCTCATCAATAAGGTCTTAAAATACGGTAGTTAATTACTTAGTTGAATTTCATTTTATTACTGTAAAAGAGATTTTTAAACTTTTAAAATGCAGACAATCAATGGACTTATCCAGGGCAGTAGAGAAACCCACAGTAAAGATAAGGCAAAGCACAGAACAATCTATAAATTCCACAAACCAGGATTTCTGCTGAGATGCTTTTATGGTTGGAGCCTGTGCTGGAGGATCACATGATCTGAGGAACTTTCTGGAACACTCTCCTTTTTCCCATTTAAATTGATTTTCTCTTTTTTATTTTTCTGGACACATGGCTTGGCTTGTGTTTCCATACTCGCCATCCTTTCATTAGTGAATATTTATGGGAGACCTACTGTGTACCTGGCACTGGGCAGATAGGGGTGAGCCAAGTGAAAATACTTGCTTGACTCTACATTACTACTGAAGGTCTTAGGGCCTCAGGGTGGCTAAATCATCTTTACCTGCAGGGAAAGATGACCTCAACTCCTCCACAGAAATTTCCTTCAAATGTTTTTAGTGAAGCAATTAAAATTTTCAAATTTAAACATGTTAAACATCTAAATTAAAAATTTTGCAAATGATAAAAACTTAAAAATTAAGGTGAGAATATTAAGAACTGGGAATGTAGGTCAATGGTAGAAGCTTCCTCACATGTGGGAGGCCCTGGGTTTAATCCCTAGTACAGCAATAAAAAAAATTAAAATTAGAAAATCTAAAAATATTTAAATTAAAAAGTTATTTTGAAAAGACTTCCCACTGAACTTTTGAGAAGAGGTTCTAGTGAATGGTATGTAGATGTATCTGTGATATTATTACCTGGAGGAACGTGTGGGCCCACAGTCGAGATCTGACCTTGAGAACTCCACTCTCTCCTCCTTCTAGTCGTCCCACTACACAGGAGATTTGCAAACACTCGATATTTGTACAATTCTGCAACAAAACAAAACAAGACAAAAAACCCAACATCAGGGACAGCACATTAAAAGACAGGGGCAGTTTTATTATTTAGATATGAGGTGTCCCCCAAAAACTCACATGTGAGACAATGCAAGAAGGTTTGGAGAGGAGGTGATTGGGTTTTAGCATTAACCTAATCAGTGAATTAATCCCTGATGGGATTGTCTGAGTAGTAACTGGAGGCAGGTGGGGTGTGGCTAGAGGAAGTGGTTCAGTGGTCGTGTGGCTATGGGGTATATATTTTGTATCTGGAGAGTGGAGTCTCTCTCTGCTTCTGATCACCATGTGAGCTACTTTCCTCTGTCATACTCTTCCACCACAATGTTCTGCCTCACCTGAAGAATGGAGCCAGACTTCTATGGACTAAGACTTCTGAAACCGTGAGCCCTCAAATAAACTTTCCCTCCTTTACAATTGTGCCGACTGGGTCTTTTAGTCATAGCAGTGAAAAAGCTGACTGAAACAGGCATCTTTAAATGCTGGTAGAAAATCAACATTAAAATCTGCTTATTTCCATTTTATTTCTTCAGAAGTCATTGCCTTATCTGCAAATGTAATTTAAGGAAAGAACAGAGGTATTGAAACAACCAAGGACAATCATTACCATTAGTGGTAATGATGCATGGATGTTAGTGGTAAGAGAGAGAAATGGACATGAATAAAATGCAAGTTCTGTTCTAAGTACTCATCTTCTGGAAATAGTCAATGAGTTGTTCTATTTCATTTACTCAGAACCTGGGAAGATGTTTCTTATAGAGATTCTTTCCACTAGTTGCTATATTGAGCAAGTGTGGAGAAGGCTACAGAGGAAGCTCCCAAGTCCATAATCTTGGAGACTCAAAATTATTGACCTACTGATAAGCATTTGTTTCATAACATGATTCTTTCTGCCCAAAAGACTTCCTAGTTGTGGAGCAGGCCCTTCTGTGAATTCTATTCATCAGGCTGTTTTTAACCAGTTCCTTAGGTTTCCCAACTTATAATGGGTCACTCTGAATATATGAGATGCATGATCCTAGAAAGTGTTCATTATGATGACATTTTACCTATCAAACCAATAATATTTTATCAATCATATTTCTGATTGAATTCCAGTATGGAAATTAATGAATGTCCATTTTCTATGTGCAAATGTACAGAATGATACTTCTTTTTTAAAAAATTTATTTATTTATTGCATTCCTTAATACACATACAGAGCACTATTTTTCGTATCTCTGTACATACAGTATGTTCACACCAACTTATGCCATTAAACATGCACTGTTTTTTTTTTTTTGGCATTACAGAGTATTTTCTCACTGCTTTGAATTTATCTTAGGGGTTATCCTTATTCATTTTTCATGTCTCAAACACTGTACTACAGGTGCCCAATACAAATAAGTCTATTGAACATTATGTGAAGTACTTGATCGAAGCATTTCACTTTAATGAAATTGATAAATAACATAATAACCTGAAGAATATATTACCATAAGAATATTTTTAGGAACAAAGAATTCTAAGAATACTAAGCAATCAGTAACATATATCAGAATAAATTTTGGTAAGGTCAGATTTGTACATGATGCTTCCAAATATAGGTAACTGGACTATCCTTGTACCATTAGATTTGGAGCCTGAGGTGCTGATGATGGAAGCAAGAGATCCCAAAGCTCTGCAGTTCCTGGGTCTCATGGGGACTCTTCCATTTTTTTATGCTCCACAATTAAGATGCTACTCACTGCTAATCCCACCCTCAGGTGGCAAGACGGAAGCCAGTTGGTGGCTGTTGTGACCTCCCTGGAGATTTTGATCCTGGTTAGCTAGCTCTGTTGGAGGACTTTGAAGAAGCTGATGTGTGGAATGGCCCTTGAAGAGTGAGAGTTACCTGGAAGAATGGGGTGACTGGCACAAGGTTCTCCTGAACAATGGAAGGGCATGCTCAGGAAAGGGGAGGGCAGGGTACATAGGGGTGAGATGGATAGATGGAAATAAGATAAGAACAATACTGCTTATGCTAAGGAGCTTAGAGTTCATTCAGAAGGTACTGGAGAACTGGTGTCAAGTTTTTAAATTAAGGGCCATGATCAGGTTTGTGTTTAGAGAGATAGGTGGTATTTGAGAAAAAAAAATAGAGTTGAAGGCAGGAGGATAATTAAGAAGCTTGTAGCAAGAGCCCAAATGAGAAATGCTAAGGCCCTGAACAGAGGCATTGAGAATAAAGACAGAAAGGTGAATTTTAGAGAAATTTAGGAAGTAGAATAGACATTTGGAGTTTGCAATGAAGGAGAGAGAGTAGTGGAGGGAGCTCTTTGTATCGGAACAGGGTGGAAGGGTACTGGTAGGATCCATACTGGTGTTACTAAAATTGAGACTGCTAGAGAAGAGGCACATTTAGGGTGGTCTTGGAGACAAGAGTTTTGAATAGGTTGGGACTGGGATGGCTATCAGACATCTAGGCAAACCTTTCAAGTCTTGACTGCAAGAAGGGAGGGCTAAGATGGCAGACTGCATTTAGGCAGGATTGGAGATATGGTTATGCCAGAAATTTCCCTGAAAAAGCAAAATCAATGGGAGGAAAGCAGAGGTCCAGAAGATGGACATCTGAGGTACAAGGGCATTTAAGGATGGGAAAAGGAGAAGTCCCTTTAATTATTCTAAGACAGGGCTAGCCAGAACGTAGGACAAAACCCATGAGAGAATTTTTTGGAGGGAAGCCAAGGGATGTAATAGTTCCAGAAGGTGGCCAATAGTATAAAATGCTCAAGAGAAACTAAGAAAGATAAGGTTTCTGTAATCAGAGAAGTGAAAGGGAAGACAGAAAAGTTTGGAGAGGATTAGAAGGAGGTGATAATAACAAAAGCAGCAGGAGAACAAGATGAGAAAGGCAAATATAGTCTTAGGTGGAGGAGAATTAGATTTCAGTGTGATAGATACAAAAAATGTTATGCAAATTGGAAATTATGATCCCAACACAGGATGTTGGCATTTTGCACTTTTAAATTCCTAATCAGAAATGTGATTCAGTAAGTTGTTTTTAACCAAACAAAAACAGTGGGAGGTCTTATTTAGCTTTTGATTTTAGAATAAACTCTGCATAATCACTCTCCAGAGTTGTTTTGACTTGAGGACATAGGGAGGTGTATGATTTGCAAGTTTTGATCCTATAAGGGAAAATGTGAATAAAAGATGAATTAAAATCAGATAAGGAAAAGAAAGACTGCCTTGGCAATCATCCATGAGCAAGTAAGCTTCTATGATATTCAGAAGTTAAAATTTATGTCAAAATATTTAATAAGAAACAATAGAAGGAAAAATATTTGACTCTACAACAAAAAGGCACACAATTTTCAGAAGAATTTTAAGTTATTGATCTCCTTTGCCTCAGTGTACTCATGAGACATACACAGAAGTGGAAATTTGAAAAACAAAAACAATCTGAATCTTTATTTTTCACATGGTTAGTTCTATGTGGGTTTGAACATTGGTTTTTCCAAAGGGCTTTTCCCATTTGTAGTGTACATATTAGAATTCTGCAGATGTCAATCATTGTTTTCTGTTTCATTATTCACCCTGGAAGCTTTTCCTTGATGACAATATACAGAGCTGTATGAATTTATGGGACGGGTATGTATATAGTATACGGTTATAAAATTTATAGGTACTTGAATCATAATCTGCCAATTAGAGCTTTTTGCTATGTAATTTCAGGCACTTATATTTTTAACAAACACTCCTTGCTTGACCTCAGTTAATTGCCCTGTTTGCTTGTACTTTTCTGTCCACTTCCATGTTTGAACTTTTAATGTCAAGATAAAATAAATGAATGCCAGAGTGTTTGAAACATACGTTTAAAACATCATTTTGACCATTTGAAGCATATATGTGGCACTGGATATGTTTACATTGTTTTGCAACCATCACTACTGCCCATCTCCAGAACTTTCTTATCATTCCAAATTAAAATTAAGGCTCTGGAAACCACTCCCTGCTTTTTTAAATCAATGAACTAGAGAGTTGGAATTTGAGTCTGTTCACCCTAACACCCTCTCTTTGATGGCTGTTTACTAACACTAATAAATTGTTATGGATGTTCTGGGTAACATGTTCAATTCTCAGGACTATGAATAATCCTTTGCAGCATTATCCTACTTTATTGAACTGAAATAAATGATTAGGATTACCAGGGTTTAAAGAAATATTTGTCTCTGCTTTTTAAAAAACAATAATAAACTAATTCCAAGTTAGTATAGGAGGATGGGAACAGAAAGGAAGTCTATTTAGGACTTCTCCAGTTTCCCACCTAGGATCCGATCCTCTTTGTCTTCCTCAAGGCTCACATGCTTCTCGGCACGTGGCTGGCTCAGACAGGGTCCCTGAATGAACTGATCTGGATTCAGAACTCAAGGAAAAGCGGAGCCTGCAGATAGGGGGTTTTCATTCGGTATCTTTCCCAAATCTGGCCTTTATTGGAACTTCTCTGCCTCTGCCCTCCTCAACGTGTACTAGCATGTAGTTGATTCTTCTAATTTAGCCAAGAATGATGCTATATGTATCCAGTGCATCCTCTGTTTTAGTTGAGGAGTCCAATAACCTTCACTCCTACCATTATTCTAAGCTTTATCTCCTGAAATTCCTTGCTAACTTTCAATTTTTCAATTCTGTGAATTCAAGTGAATATTACCCCTCTTCCAGTCATACAAATGCTAAAATCAGGGATTCAATTCCTCAAACATAGATTTATTCCCTTCAGCTATTTTGAATTATTACAGTTTCATAACCAGCGCAAATAATTATATTCCCCAAAGCAGCTGTTCATTGTCATAACAGTCATTTTATTTCAGATTCAGTAGGTAGAGGGGCTAGTGAATTGAGTCTCCATCATCACTATCTTTTTAACTGCTTGCAACATATTTAGTTAGAATTGAATTGAGGGTTCAGATGGAATGTCACACCAAGAGCATTTTGGAGGTGACTCTAAAAGCTATTAGTAGTGGCCATGATAACTTCATCCACTGTGTCATTCATACATTTGCTCAACAAATGAGCCAGGCACTGAGCTACACCCTGAAGAAAAAATACTAAGGAAACTAAACATATTCTTATCCTCATGGGTTTTCAACAGAGCAAACAGGTAGGGAGAGAAGATTACCCAAGGGCTAGAGCCCAGTGGTACCTGGATGAGCCCAGGAGTGAATCCAACATGGACCAGAAGTGTGGATCTGGGTGTTTCATGGCTCGTGACCAGCAAGGAAGGTGACTCTGGCCACTGTAGAAATAACTACAGAGTCCTCTTTGGCTCAAATGCTGCCTTCTCTTCCTTATTCTTTTCTTGCCCTTGAGACCCCCTGCCAAGTGTCTCTCCCTTTTGCTAACCTCTTTGGATTGACTATTCTTGGCTTTGGGTAGTTATGGCTCTTGACTGAGCGCCACCACAAGATAATGCATCTTTGATTGAGCTTCTGTACTGAAGCTGTGGGGCAAGAAGCACCTACCCAATCCCTGCACCATCTAAGTGCTGGGACACTGTTCTAGGCCTGTCCCTATCCCAATCCTCTAGGTGTGTCTGCCCAGGATGATGAATTCTAGGGTGATTACATGTGCAAGGCTGGAAGATGTGCTTGTATGGTCTTACTCTTTATGGAACTGACCTGTGGAACAGGGCTAAATTGCTCCTTGATGCTCATTTTTAGCCTTTGCCACATGGTCAGGGAAGCAGTGGATGTTCAGGTAAGGAGATAAAGTTCTAAAAACAACATTCGGATGAGTAGGAGAACTGCATCAAAAATACTGACTCATGAATGCTTTGTAAAGTTTTGCAAAGTCCAGCCTAGGCTCAACCTAGAGCAACTACGGACTCTAACACTATGATGCTACAGGGATTATGACCCAGGAAATCTGAACATACCAGTCCCTACTCTTCTGGATGGGCAGAGGACTCTGAGATTCAGGACAGGTAGGTTCTCAGGGCCCAGTGAATGAACAGCCCTCCTCTAAGCTCACTTCAGACTCTCTGTGGATAGGTTAACAACTGAACCTTCATGTTCTTAAAATGGATTAAAGGTCACATTTGATGTTTTCATCCTTATTTCTCTAAAGTAGCCTCCGAGACAGGTTTAGAAGAACAAAAAGGTTATATCACAAATGCTCCTTAATCCTCTCAGAAAAGTCACTTTCATTTCTTACAATATGTACTGCCAAAATATGTCAGGCATATCTGAGCATCAGAGGAGACTGCAAATAATACTTGAAGTTAAAACCCTCTGTATCTGGGATTTCTGACGGGTCCAATCATTCTCTTCAGATCTATGCACACAGAGACGACTCACCAGTATTTTTGTGGGACTCTGTCTGTGGAGCTGAACACCAGGCACATCCCGCTTCTTGACAAGATGAGGAATGGTAGAGTTTCGCAGAAAGGCGCTGAGCTCAGGGGTGTCCTCTGGGGAGGCTGCAGGCTGCAAACAGAAAGCGGAAGAGATCATACACAATTGCATTAACAGTTGTTACCTTTCATTAGCCTTGAACTCTAGGCAGTTTTTCGCTCCCAAGTGAATTGGATTCATAGGAGAGTTCAGACATGTGATTTACCAGCAAGATGTTCAACAGCAAAATGACCTGCACTGACAAGGAATGAGCCTTTCCACTCTCCAGTTACAGGAATTCATGAAGCATGGGGGAAACGCATTCTTGGGAAGTTTGTCTTGTAAGGATAAGATTTTAAGCAGAAGCAATTTCCCCAGAAGGCTAGAAAATGTGTAGCTGATTTTCAGACTTGAGTTACTTTCCTCTCATTATATTTGGAGCTGGCAAAACTCAGGGTGGAAAGATGGCTTTTGAGGTAGCAGAAAAGTGGGAAAATAACCCAATGTGGTCAAGGGCCTCATGTTTGCATGACTGCACCCCACATTCCAGTGCTTGGGAGAGGTGTTCCTCAGGAGAGAACCATGTCCTAGTGAAAATGACTTTTGCAAAGCATGCCCCATGCACACGATGCTGTAGTGGAGCTTGTTTTCAGCCCTGAATTTATTTTGAAAGTGTTCTAGAACTGGTGATTTTATCTCACGCTTCATGCTGGGTACATCCAATGGCTGGAAAAAAAATATTTTGAGAGTTCCAATACATCACACATAATATCCTATTCGCATTCTTTATTTGAGATGCACTGACTATACAAACCTCATTTTCTGCCCCTCCCACCCCCACTTCCATCTTGAGAATTTTGTCTTCTTTTTTTTTTAATTTTTTATTGTTGGATGTTCAAAACATTACAAATTTCTTGACATATCATATTCCACACTTTGATTCAAGTGGGTTATGAACTCCCACCTTCACCCCATACACATATTGCAGAATCACATCAGTTACACATCCATTGATTTACATATTGCCATACTAGTGTCTGTTGTGCTCCGCTGCCTTTCCCATCCTCCACCATCCCCCCTCCCCACCTCTCCCCTCCCCTCCCCTCCTCTATCTCTACCCCCTCCACTGTATAACCCTGAGGGTCTCCTTCCATTTCCATGCAATTTCCCTTCTCTCTCCCTTTCCCTCCCACCTCTCATCCCTGTTAAATGTTAATCTTCTTCTCATGCTCTTCGACCCTACTCTGTTCTTAGTTACTCTCCTTATATCAAAGAAGACATTTGGCATTTGTTTTTTAGGGATTGGCTAGCTTCACTTAGCATAATCTGCTCTAATGCCATCCATTTCCATGCAAATTCTATGATTTTGTCATTTTTTAATGCAGAGTAATACTCCATTGTGTATAAATGCCACATTTTTTTTATCCATTCGTCTATTGAAGGGCATCTAGGTTGGTTCCACAGTCTTGCTATTATGAATTGTGCTGCTATGAACATTGATGTAGCAGTGTCCCTGTAGCATGCTCTTTTTAGGTCTTTAGGGAATAGACCAAGAAGGGGAATAGCTGGGTCAAATGGTGGCTCCATTCCCAGCTTTCCAAGAAATCTCCATACTGCTTTCCAAATTGGCAGCACCAATTTGCAGTCCCACCAGCAATGTACAAGTGTACCCTTTTCCCCACATCCTCGCCAGCACTTGTTGTTGTTTGACTTCATAATGGCTGCCAATCTTACTGGAGTGAGATGGTATCTTAGGGTGGTTTTGATTTGCATTTCTCTGACAGCTAGAGATGTTGAGCATTTTTTCATGTACTTGTTGATTGACTGTATGTCCTCCTCTGAGAAGTGTCTGTTCAGGTCCTTGGCCCATTTGTTGATTGGGTTGTTTGTTCTCTTATTGTCTAATTTTTTGAGTTCTTTGTATACTCTGGATATTAGGGCTCTATCTGAAGTGTGAGGAGTAAAGATTTGTTCCCAGGGTGTAGGCTCCCTATTTACCTCTCTTATTGTTTCTTTTGCTGAGAAAAAACTTTTTAGTTTGAGTAAGTCCCATTTGTTGATTCTAGTTATTAACTTTTGTGCTATGGGTGTCCTATTGAGGAATTTGGAGCCCGACCCCACCGAATGTAGATCGTAGCCAACTTTTTCTTCTATCAGACGGTGTGTCTCTGATTTGATATCAAGCTCCTTGATCCATTTTGAATTAACTTTTGTGCATGGCGAGAGAAAGGGATTCAGTTTCATTTTGTTGCATATGGATTTCCAGTTTTCCCAGCACCATTTGTTGAAGATGCTATCCTTCCTCCATTGCATGCTTTTAGCCCCTTTATCAAATATAAGATAGTTGTAGTTTTGTGGATTGGTTTCTGTGTCCTCTATTCTGTACCATTGGTCCACCTGCCTGTTTTGGTACCAGTACCATGCTGTTTTTGTTACTATTGCTCTGTAGTATAGTTTGAAGTCTGGTATCGCTATACCGCCTGATTCACACTTCCTGCTTAGCATTGTTTTTGCTATTCTGGGTCGTTTATTTTTCCATATGAATTTCATGATTGCTTTCTCTATTTCTACAAGAAATGCCGTTGGGATTTTGATTGGCATTGCATTAAACCTATAGAGAACTTTTGGTAATATCGCCATTTTGATGATGTTAGTTCTCCCTATCCATGAACAGGGTATATTTTTCAATCTTCTAAGATCTTCTTCTATTTCTCTCTTAGGAGGGTTCTGTAGTTTTCATTGTATAAGTCTTTCACCTCTTTTGTTAGGTTGATTCCCAAGTATTTTATTTTTTTTGAAGATATTGTGAATGGAGTGGTTGTCCTCATTTCTATTTCAGAGGATTTGTCGCTGATATACAGGAATGCCTTTGATTTATGCGTGTTGATTTTATATCCTGCCACTTTGCTGAATTCATTTATTAGCTCTAATAGTTTCTTTGTAGAGCCTTTTGGGTCTGCTAGGTATAGAATCATAACATCTGCAAATAGTGATAATTTAAGTTCTTCTTTTCCTATTTTGATGCCTTTAATTTCTTTCATCTGTCCAATTGCTCTGGCCAGTGTTTCAAGAACTATGTTGAAAAGAAGTGGAGAGAGAGGGCATCCCTGTCTTGTTCAGATTTTAGAGGGAATGCCTTCAGTTTTTCTCCATTCAGAATGATGCTAGCCTGAGGCTTAGCATAGATTGCTTTTACAATATTGAGGTATGTTCCTGTTATCCCTAGTTTTCTAGAGTTTTGAACATAAAGGGATGCTGTACTTTGTCGAATGCTTTTTCCGTATCTATCGAGATGATCATATGGTTCTTATTTTTAAGTCTATTGATGTGGTGAATAACATTTATTGATTTCTGTATATTGAACCAGCCTTGCATCCCAGGGATGAATCTTACTTGATCATGGTGCACAATTTTTTTGGTATGTTTTTGTATCTGATTCGCCAGAATTTTATTGAGGATTTTTGCATCTAGGTTCGTTAGAGATATTGGTCTGTAGTTTTCTTTCTTTGAAGTGTCTTTGTCTGGTTTAGGTATCAGGGTGATGTTGGCCTCATAGAATGAATTTGGAAGTTCTCCCTCTTTATCTATTTTCTGAAATAGCTTGAAAAGTATAGGTATTAGTTCTTCTTTAAGGGTTTTGTAAAACTCTGCTGTATACCCATCCGGTCCTGGGCTTTTCTTAGTTGGTAGTCTTTTTATGGTTTCTTCTATTTCCTCAATTGATATTGGTCTGTTTAGGTTTTCTATATCCTCCTGACTCAATCTGGGCAGATCATATGACTTAAGAAATTTATCTATGCCTTCACTATCTTCTAATTTATTGGAGTATAAGGATTCAAAATAGTTTTTGATTATCTTCTGTATTTCTGAAGTGTCTGTTGTGATATTGCCTTTTTCATCCCGTATGCTAGTAATTTGAGTTCTCTCTCTTCTTCTCTTCGCTAGCATGGCTAAGGGTCTGTCGATTTTGTTTATTTTTTCAAAGAACCAACTTTTAGTTTTGTCAATTTTTTCAATTGTTTCTTTTGTTTTGATTTCATTAATTTCAGCTCTGATTTTAATTATTTCTTGCCTTCTAGTTCTTTTGCTGTTGTTTTGCTCTTCTTTTTCTAGGATTTTGAGATGAAGTATGAGATCATTTATTTGTTGGTTTTTTCTTTTTTTAAGGAATGAACTCCAAGCAATGAATTTTCCTCTTAGAACTGCTTTCAGTGTGTCCCATAGATTCCGATATGTTGTGTCTGTGTTTTCATTTATCTCTAGGAATTTTTTAATTTCCTCCTTGATGTCTTCTATAACCCATTGATCATTCAGTAACCTATTGTTCATTCTCCAAGTGATGTATGCTTTTTCCTTCCTTCTTTTATCGTTGATTTTCAGTTTCATTCCATTATGATCAGATAAGATGCATGGTATTATCTCTACTCCTTTATATTGTCTAAGAGTTGCCCTGTGACATAATATATGATCTATTTTTGAGAAGGATCCATGTGCTGCTGAGAAAAAAGTGTAACTGCTTGATGTTGGGTGATATATTCTATATATGTCAATTAAGTCTAGGTTATTAATTGTGTTATTGAGTTCTATAGTTTCCTTATTCAACTTTTGTTTGGAAGATCTGTCCAGTGGCGAGAGAGGTGTGTTGAAGTCTCCCATGATTATTGTATGGTGGTCTATTAGACTCTTGAACTTGAGAAGAGTTTGTTTGACGAACATAGCTGCACCATTGTTTGGGGCATAAATATTTATGATTGTTATGTCTTGTTGGTGTATGGTTCCCTTAAACAGTATGTAGTGTCCCTCTTTATCCCTTTTGATTAACTTTGGCTTGAAATCTATTTTATTTGATATGAGTATGGACACTCCTGCTTGTTTCCAAAGTCCATATGAGTGATATGATTTTTCCCAACCTTTCACCTTCAGCCTATATATGTCTTTTCCTATCAAATGCATCTCCTGTAGGCAGCATATTGTTGGGTCTTGTTTTGTGATCCATTCTACTAGCCTGTGTCTCTTAATTGGTGAGTTTAAGCCATTAACATTTAGGGTTATTATTGAGATATGGGTTGTTCTTCCAGCCATATTTGTTTATT